GCTGGCTTGTGCAATCTCCTGCTCTCTGTCTAAATCTCTCCCATTCCGGAGACTTACTGCCATCAACTGATTCGGGTTTTGCTCCTTGGGGTTAATGTTCGTGTCCGCTGGCAATGTTCCCTTGGGGCGGTTGTTTAAGGCCATAGACAGCTGCCCCAACTGAGTTTCAATGTTCTTTATTACTGAGTCATGCACTGCCAGCTTTCCCTGCATCTTACCATTTGTTCCAATGAGTTGTTGAAGCATACCCCTGATCTCCACCATGTTGTTATCTTGTTGCTGAGGAGGTGGCTGATATGTCAACTGTTGCTGATTTTGCTGTGGATAGCCTTGTTGTCTCTGATATGGTACTGGCACCATTTGGCCTTGGGGTTGCATCCCTCCAGGCTGTGGCATGTTTGGTATGTATTGCTGATTTGGTGCCGGTCTCCACTGATGCCTCCTTGTCTCTGACCCCCAAAGTTGTTGACATAATTCATATCTTCTCTTACCCCTTGATTGTCTCCTTCTCCACTCCATGAACACACATAAGACTGATTAACACAGGGTGTACACAGTCCCTCCATTTGTTGTGTCGACAATATGCACCTGCTTTGTACCCATCTCATCAATCTTCTTTGTCAACATACTCATCTGAGTCATGAGTGTGGCTATGTTCTCTACATGAGAATTATTTAGGTCAAGAGGAACTGAATGCACTATGGGTGCCAGTGTTGTACCTCTAGTCATCCACCCCGAATTCTGGGACATCTTGTCAAGAAGGACTTTACACTCGGTGAATGTCTTACTCAAAAATGCACCTCCAGCTGAAGCATCCATATTGGCCTTTAGATTGTCAGTTAACCCCATGTAGAACCTCTGGCCGAGCATCTGGTCTGGAATACCATGGTGAGGACACTTCACTAGCATCCCCTTGAGCCTTTCCCAAGTTTCCTGCAAGGTTTCAGTCGGCTGTTGCTTGTACTGCAATATCTCATCAATCTGCCTTGCAGTCTTATTGGGCGGGTAGAACTTATTCAGGAACTGCTTGACTAATTCCTCCCAGGTGACAATGGAATTTATAGGGAGCAAATTCAACCAAGTCTGAGCTTCCCCAGTCATAGAGAATGGGAACAGTAATAGCTTGATAGCTTCCGGGGTCACATTAGGCTGCCTTTGGGTCACACAAACTGACAGAAAATTTTTCAAGTGTTGTTGAGGGTCTTCAATGTGTGACCCGGAGAACAATCCCTTATTCTGCAGAAGATGCCGCATGTTGTTGGTGATCTGGAATGTCTCCGCTTGAATTAGGGGCACAGCTATGGCAGTAGCCAGGTTGTCAGCTATTGGTTGTGCCCAATCATAAAGTGCAGCTTCTAGCACAAGAGGTGCCACTACTCTGACGTTTGGGGCAGCTGGCTCTTCCCCGATGTTTCCGTTGACGTTCTCTACGTCACCCATGTCAATTTTAAGCTGGTGTGGTTGTTGTGATTGTTGGATCCTCTTGTTAGCACGGTTCAATGCCCTGAATGTTTTCTCGGGGTCTGAGAGTCCTTCAAGCAGTTCTCCAATCCTCGAGGAATTTCTAGGCATACACCTGAATTCCACAAGAGTTCAAACGTGAGAATTTCAATGAAAAGATTGTTTAACTCCTTCGAAAATTGATCTAAACTAATAATTCTAACACTACTTCTAAGTTATAATAAATAACACCGTTAATTCCCCGGCAACGGCGCCAAAATTTGATCACGCCCAACTATGCCTTCTAAAAGACAAAGCGGTCGTTGCAAATATAATCCGATTTTAAGTCCGGAGTCGAATCCACAGGGAACTAACCTATCTATTACAACTCTTTAGCAATGCTATTATGAACTCAACCAATTTCCCGATGCAATATTTTATCAATCACTCTTGGGTTTTTGTTTAACTACTTCAAGTGATATTAAAAATAACAATTTGCTAAACTAAAGATAATTCAATGGTAGAAAGGTCTAGGGCATTGATTTCCCCAATTACAAGTTTAGGTCTTAACTCTTTTGCTATAATCTCGCCATAATACTCTTTGAGGATTATGAGCTATGGGTTATCATAATTATCTCTCGATCAACTACAATAATTTACTAGAGCATTCTCTCGAACTACTCTAGCTGACAATACGTGCAGCTCTAAATTATCCCTCCAAAGTTTCGTTATCTCTAACCCCACTTTTAAATTCAAGTAATGAATCTCTTCAATTACCCAAAAGTGGTGTTGTTCAACAACAATCTAACCTAGTATTCTTTCTCAAGAAACACAAGAAAATTAGACACGATTAATCGAGGGCCCATTCAATTAATCACCATACAAAACGTAGCTGAACAATCATATAATAATTCTGGCTCGATTATAACAAGTTGAGTCAAAACTTCAACCAACAATTGGTTCCATCAACCCTAGATCAATTGTTTAGCTACTCATAACAAAACAAGACAAAACTACAAAGTTGTTCATAATGTGTAATTGCAAGAACTAAAAGGAGGTAGAAAAACTCTAATGTTTGGTTGATCTTCTCACACTTGTTATTGCCTCCAAAGTAGTCTAAAAACAAGCCCTTTTTTTGTCTTGGGTGAGCTTCTAGATTTTATAAGGGTTTGGAATAAGTTTTCCCCGAGTTACACTTTAGTCCCCAAGTTTTCTGGCATCCGCACTGTTCACCGCGGCCGCGGCACGACCGCGGTGAAGGCCAACTATTCTGCCTGCGTTTGTGGACTGCCGCGGTCCTACCGCGGTCCCACCGCGGTCGCGGTGGATTTCACCTCAGTCCACTTTTTGCTTCTTTATGCTCGGGTGCTTCTTGATTGGACGTTTTCCTCACATTATTGACTCCAAAACACTCCGTAGTGCTTCCTAACTTGGATTATTCCCTGCGAAGCAAAAGAACACCAATTAGAGCATTTTGTTATCAATTCGCCTATAAAACAACAATAAAGCATGGTAATATTAAAGTGTAAATATCATCTATATAGCCTAATATCAGTGGGCGCCAAACTGTTTACCCTAAAAATTGAGTAACAATTAAAATTGCAATGTGATTGTAAGGATACGTGATTTCACCTAATATCAACTGAGAAATGTAAAGATAAGCAATAGAAATTAATAATAATGTGAAACAATCCAGTGTTTTGGACAGAGCCCTCGAGTTAATGTACCCTCGAGCTAACAGAGCAAGAACAATTAAAAAGTCGTGAACTGATGAACGAGAGAATGTAAATTAAAGAGAGATTCTTGTATTTCTTTAGTCTATGTGAATGTCAAAAGTGCCTTACAAAAGATGGGGTCTCCGCTTTATATACTAGAGGAATCCTAATTATGGTACAATTCTGATTACGGAAGTAAATCCCATGATTGGTACAAATAACCACCCTTGATTTAATCTGTTCCGGGATTTCCGCCGTGATCTTCGACGATTATGGAAATCTCGCGTTTCCGTTATTGCACTTCACTCGAGTTCGGTTATACTTAGCCTCGATTGTTGCTGGCCTCAGTCTCGACGGACATCTCGACTCTTGAACTCGACACCTCGCCTTCGTGTTATAGCCTGATACATCGCGAGGCTGACCCTCGATGCGATTTTATCCGTATACAGTTACTCTTCTTGAGCCTTCTTGCAATATTTTTTTGAGTTTAATTTTAAGTTTAAGAGATAATTTCTTTTTCTTATTTTCACAAAGGGTGGTCTTGCTTTTGTTAAGGGAAGTTTGATTGTTTACCCGTAAAACGATACAGTTGAATTTGTAACGTGATTTATAGACAAGCGAATTGATTTGATTCGAAATTGGTAAAGAGAAAAGATTAAAACTAATATTTAACGATTAAAATTAAGGAAAATAACAAGCCTGGTTCGGAACTCACGTTTCCGATAGCAGAAGTGAGAATAACAAAGCGATGGTGAAACTGTTACTTTGAGAACTAAATAGTAGAGTATGAGAGCAAAATAGTATAGCTTGTGCATGTAGAATATTTTTCCTTATCCTTACAATGGCCGTTGACCCCATTGTTATATAGCTCTACCTAGGGAAACAAGATCCTAGAATCAAACCCTTCTTAAATGGGAAATAAAAGGGTCATTGATGAATATATAACGGCAGATCTTGAATGCAAATATTTTCTGCAATGGCAGCTCATTTAATGTTAGGAATATTCCTTCATTGAAAGCTTTTCCTATGGAAAATCCTCGAACTTCTATCGCTGAACACGTTCCCTTCGGAACTTATCCGGCACCAGCCAAATTCAAGTGGCTATTTGTGTGTTTGACTTTTTCTTTTTTTGACTTTTTCAACTCAATGATATGTCATTAAACTCGTAAACATTTTCCAATAGTCAACTCAAAAAGATATGCAATTAACAAATATCATAGCTTCATAAACGTATTCAAACACTCAATTCAAGCATATATTAAATCAAATCCGCTGCGGACCATTCATTAAATTTGATCAAGCATAATAATTCAAGTACTATTGACTACTTCTAAAAAAGATACTTTGAATTCATTGGAATTGGATATTAAGCTCTAAGGGGTCGTTTGGTTTGAATACAGCTTATATTGAGATAAGTTATGCTAGGATTAGTTATGCTATGATTAGTTATCCTAGTATTGTTTTTTATCCAATGTTTGGTATGTTGTATTAAAAATGACAATTGCATAATTTCTAAGAAGGTATAAGTTATCTCGACACTAATTACCCCATCCTCTACAAGGTATAAGATATCCTGGTACTAATTTTATTCCGGGAATAACTTATTCCAGGTTTGCTAACCAAATAAATTATTAAGGTGATATTAAAATCTTATACCAGCACTACACCTTCTTATACCTCATACCAAATGACTCCTAAAAGGATACCACTTATACACATAGATATAGTGCTAAATGAGCGGGTTAGATCGGATATGACCAGGTAAAAAGAGGTTAGGAAAACAAATAAATATTTGACTCACACACATTTAATACGATCCAAAATCCAAGTACATACTTTCAAGACTCGTAGAAGAAAGTTTGTATTGAGCTAAAACAATCCAAAGATACTCTTAATATTGTGTGACCAGAAATAAGAAGTCCCTTGGCCCTTTAACTTATTACATCCCCAAACAATTTTTGTCCTTCAATTCATCGATTACTTTATAATTGAGACTTGTTACAAATAATATTTATGAAAACAAACAAATAATTAACAACAAACAACTATTTGAGGTGTCTTTACTCTTTATTGTACTTTTTGTTGTAATGTGCATCCAATTGCTCCAAAAATATACAATTAATAGACAGTTGAGTAGTCGTTACCCCATTCGTGCAGGTCACTACTTATGCGATAAGGAATTTCACCACCTTAGGACAGTTAGAGTTACTGCAGCCGTTGACTATAAGTGAAGATGAAGACCAAAAGTAGAACACGATATGGGGATTAATTTCATCCTCATATAATCAATGCAGCATAAAGAAGTTGGTTCCAAGTATCAGGCAATCCAGGAAGACACCAGTGGCTACAATCAACACCGGGGTGCTCGCCGCTGTAAGCTGATGGATGAGCATCTTTTCTTAATTGTGACAAAAATGTGATATCGAGGAGATAAACCGGTGTCTTAATCTGAGTTAATACTTTGTTAACGACCATTGTAGATGCTGGTAATCCTGCTGGATATGTTGATCCTGATAATGGAACTTGCTCTGAATTGCAATTCCTTGTTGAGGAACCCCATTCTTTACCACTGGTCAAAATGAGACATTTTTAAAGTCATATGATGTTAGCTCATGTGCATTGTTAAAGACATATGATGTTTAGTTCAATGTGCATAATTAAAGCCATATGATGATCAAAACAGTGGCTGACTTATAGCCTATTCGGCCAAGCTTTTGTTTGATCAAAAGTATTTTTTTCGCCAAAAATATTTTTTCCTTAAATTAAGGTGTTTAGACAAACGTTTAGAAGGATTAAAGTGCTTTTGACTAGAAGCAGAAGCGGATTTTGAGAAGCAGAAAAAAGTAGCTTCTCCCCAAAAGTACTTTTGAGAAAAATACAGTTAAAAGTACTTTTTTAAAAGCTTGGCCTAATATTAATTACCGTGCAAAAACGCCTTTCAAATTAATTAGTCAAACACAAACTCCTTCTCGCCAAAAGTACTTTTTTGAAAAGCACATTTGAAAATAAGCTGGTTTTAGAAGCTTGGCCTAACAGGCTATTGGTGTACAAGTTATGGTTTCATCTAAATTCAGTTGTTTTGGCGCAGACCTTATATATGTGTTAAAGAATCAACTGAATAAGTACAAATAATAGATTTCAAATCCAGTAAATCACACGAATAGTAGTAGAATTTCAAGCTCGAACTCATAAAGTTTAAATCTTTAATCTTTGTCTAGTTTATGATGGTTTTTGTGAGAGCATGGAAGTGGAAAGTGCAATGGAAATCAAAGGAAGTGAGGACTTACATATAATGAGTGGGAGAAATGCCTTGGAAAAAGACTTTGGTTTTGGAAGAATCAACATTTTGATCAACCCATCTTGCCCAAGTTGTTAGGCCTTTGTAAAATGCCATCAAACGGTCCATATCTTTTGACACTTTTGAGCCATCTTGCACATAATCCCATCTGCAACATTAGAAATTGGTTACTACCATGGTTTTTAGACTTCTTTATAGTTTAATCTTTAATATCGCACAAAGGTTTAAGGTTATATCAAGAAGGGAATCAAATCTTATCTTGACTATTGATTTTTCTTCACAAAATTTTATATATATATATATATATATATATATATATATATATATNTATATATATATATATATAAAAAAAAAATATTTTGCGACTATCTCTTAAAGGGGTCTTGAAGCAACGGAAAAGTACTCTACATTTACAAGTGAGAAGGGTTTGAACTAGTAGGTATGACTGTCTGTATTGAAGAATTAACCTAAATACTCTTGCACCCAATTTCTTAAACTATAAATAGCTAATGGATGTATAATATATGGATAATCAATGTATGATATGTGTAACTTTAGTGTATAATCTATGTATATCAGTTTTTAAAAAAGTAAACAGTAAATCTAGCTGACTGTTTGTGTAAAGATCCTGCCTATATTATGTCTTTTAGGACCCGCCAGGTCGGGAGCCTTTTAAAATTGGGCTCCGCCTTTCTTTGTCCATATATAAAAAGGTCAGTCTGGTGCACGAAGCATCCCGCATTTATGCAGGATTCAGGGAAGGGCCGCATCTAAGCGGTGTGATGTAGGCAGTCTACCTTGATACAAGCATCAGTAGCACGTCTCGAACTCATTACTTATAGGTCATATATAGACAACTTTACCTTTGTTCAAAAACTCTCCTATCTTTATATATCTTTTAAATTTTTTTAAGGAGACATGAAAGGAGGAAGACCATACCCTTGAGATTTTCCTTTGTGAGTCCACCAATGCCAAGAGTTGAAAATCAACATATCCATTCCTTTCCAAGCTTCACCTTGTTGAATAGAGTCCAATTTTAACACCCGGCCAATGTTCTCTCTTACTACATCCACTAGATATGGGGTTCGATAAAGAAATAAAGTTACTCCATACTCCTGTGCAAATAATTAAGAGAATTCAGTAAAATGACCCTATAAAGATTTACGGCTTTTATTTATTTAATTTTTAGTGTTATACTTTATCGATCTCTTGTGAAAAGAGAATCATTTAACTAAAAGAATATATTTGATAATGGATATAAAATAAATCTCTTCCAAAGAACATTAATAAAGATATAAAAGCGATTTCTTCCCGAGGCAAAGCCTAAATTTAATGTTAATGACTTTAGGATTCTAGTCATTTTAAGTTACTAGTGTTCTTAATTGATAAATTATATATATTCGATGAATTTGTTAAGATAAATATAAGATTTGGACAAAAACTATTGAATTTGGCCGAATTTGTAACTCATGTTTTGGCTCCGACGCTGATCATTCCAAAGGAAACGTACAACCAAATACTCTACGACAGCCCGATGCTCTAAACTCCCGCTATGTGCAGGATTCTGCAAGAGTCTATTTCTACAGCTTAAACCTGTGAGTAACATTACAGCAACTTTACCAATTACGCCAACCGAATACTCTAAAGTTCAATAAATATGAGCACAAGTTGACAACAAAAAATATGATAAGAAGCTTTTATACAACCAAATAACGCCAAATTTAGTGTTTGGTCTGAGCATTTTGCTAGAATTAGCAAAGGGGGTGAAATATTATGTCCTTACAACAAAAAAGTCTCAATAAAAAGTGCCATGACAGATTGGCCCTACCACTGATGAAGTGATTATGACAATACTTTGGTAATGGAAAATTTTATTTTATGATTTACACAACTGACACTAGTGTTGTGAGGTCTTCTTTTTGTCTTATAATTTTGTGGACCCAAATGTATAAGATATGTGTCCACAAATGTGTGAGACAAAAAGAGGCCTCACACAACTAATGTCAGTTGTGTGAGGCTCACCATACTAGGGCTGGGCATAATTTGGTAAATATTGAATTACCGTACCGAACCCAAAAATTTTGGTATTTGGTATACGGTATATTGATATTTGGTATGGTATTTGGTTTAAATTTTTTAAAAATTCGTATTAGGTATGGTATTTGGTATTTTAAGATAAAATAACGAAATACCAATATCATACAGAAATATATATTATATTACACAAAATATATATTATCAATTATAACATAAATATAAAAAATCTAAAATTTTACTTTCCTTTATTCTCCAAGTTCATCAATTAACTCTAAACAAGTAACAAGACATTTCTAATGATCAAATATTCTTTTATGTACAATTTTCTCTATTTGAGTCGATATTTGCTAGTTTTGGATAAAAATTTTGTCAACAAACATTTTCAGTTTTGTATTTTTGAGTACTTTAATTAAGAATATTAGAGTGTATGGCTCTATGCACTAGTTACTATTCAAACCGAATAAACTGAAGTTGTCGAACCGAATAAACCGAAACCGAAAGGAAAAAATCCGAACCATACCAAAATTAATTACGTACGGTATTGGTATAGAATTTTAAGAAACCGAATATCAAAAATACTGAACCAAAATAACTAAATACCATACGATACCGACTGAGAACACCCCTACACCATACTCCTCTGGTAATTATTAGAGGGAGTTTTGCTTATGTGGACTGAAATTGTATGCAAACTACTACCACAGCTATAACGTCCAATCCCAAACAAGTTAGCCCCCATTTGGCCGTAGATTTTGCCAAATATTTTTCAAAATAATTTTGACAAATACCTGTTTGTTTATAGATTTTATTTATATTTTGGAAAATTTTCGAATAACAAAACCCAAATCTCAAAACCAGCTAAAGAGTTGTTTTTGGCCAAAATATTACCGCATGGTTTTTAAAAAAATTTCAGACATTGCCCCAAACTTTTGTATTTTATAGAAAAGCCAACTTTCTGTTATTATGACCCAACTAATCCATATCTACTCACTTTTTCCTCATTAAATTCACGCGGCTTTGTCCTTCTCTATAAATAGAAGAAAACCTTCGCCAAAGTTGTTGTGTCAATCTGTGGCAATCCACCGCAAAGATAAAATTTGAAGGTAATTTGCTAAAATCTGCTAATGTTTGTATAAATTTTCTTTAAATTTGTTTCGCTTGTTTTGTATGAATTTTCTTCAGATTTGTTTCGCTTGTTTTGTATGAACTTTCTTCAAAGTTGTTGGGTATTTTTGATAGTTTTTAAAACTTATGGGTATAGGTCATATTTCATATTTTTTTCAAAAAAAAAAATGAAGTATGTTTGAAAAATTATATCCAAACAGATTTTCATCTTCAAACCAAACTTCACCCAAATCAGATTTTTTAAAATAAATTTTAAAATATCTAGGCCAAACGCTAGCTTAGAGTCGGCCAATCTTACTTCTCCATTTAAGTTCAATTCATATTATTATTAATGTCAAATAAATAAAAGTGACACATCGAAGTATGTTATATTTAAACCACTATGGTGAAAAAAAATTGAGTAAGTTCTTGACACATCCAAGTATGTTACATACTTAAATGTCAAAGGCTCAAGATCTTTCGAACATCTTATTGACTTAAAAATTTAGGAAATAGACTAAAGTAATATTTCATATATTTCATTTTACGTGATGGGGTTTTGTTGTACGATAGTCAAACGCTTACTTTTTTTTAAGAATTTAAACGTATAAAATTTTCGAATCCTTAAGATAATATTTACGTAATAAAAAAAAATATAAAATGTAATAGTAAGAGAATATGATTATGAGCTAAAAAGAAATAGTATTGCTCCGATAAAACCAAAAGTAATAAAATAAATATTCTTTTTATTTCTCTATGCTTGGCGAAATGAGTAAATGGGAAACAGCAGTCCAAAGAATGTAGAAATTGCTGTTCACGCCTCTGACAAGTCACGGGTTTTACTCAATTAAAAACAAACAAATATCAATAAAAAATTTTGTCTCCCATGCATGCAAAGACTAAAAAGCCAACCTCTAGAAAAAAGCAGGGACTTTACACATATTTTCTTTTTATAGCCGGTGTGCATAAATTATATATTTTATATATAATTTTACTTTTATATATAATATATATATATATATATATATATTATATTCATCGATTATTTATAGTTTAAGCGATTGGGGGAACGAATATTTGAGTTAATTCTTAAAAAAAGTAGTAGAAGTTTGAAAAAGTCAAAGACACAGAGAAACCTCTGTGGTCTTTTTGCTTAATTGGATCTTTTTTGTTGTACTATTATTTTAATGACTCTGTCATGATAAATGGACTTATTTCAAATATTCTGCTAAGGATCTTGGTTGTTACCCATCAAGATTTGCCAAACAGAGCATAATAAATGAGAAAAGAACTAAACATTGAAAAGGAAAGAACTAAACATGCTTGTAATTTAGCTTAAATTATCTTGAAAGGCAAAAAAAGTTATTTTGTGTTTGAATGCCCAATATTTTGTAACATATTCCGATTGCTAAAATGCCTAATATTTGGAACTAATAGTAGTGATTTTTTTTTTTAAAAAAAAAAGAAGATTCGTTAAAACTTGTAATTTTAAATATGCATGTCATAACATTATTATGGCTATAAAGACATGTTGTTTGGGGTAAATATAAAAATTTAAAGTTAAATTTTTTTAAAATTTAGGAATATATGTAATTCTTTTTGAGACAAACTAATAAAATACCGAATAAATGGGACGAGTAGTTTTTTGTGTATCCCTTTCCTTTATGCATGTCTTCTCTAACTGAGTTTCTTCCACAATAAAACAAAAAATGGACTACATGAACGAGCATATCAAGTATTTACTAATAATAGTAAAGGCGGAATCAAAATTTCAAGCTTGTGGGTTCGAAATTCTAATTCTTTTAAGATATTAGGTTCTGCATTAAAACATTAAACATAATTAATGAATTTTTAAAGATAAATATAAAGGTTAAACAAAAGGTATTGGGTTCAATCAAACCTAGCTACCTGAAAAGTCACGGAAGAAATTGCCTCTTTTCTGGTAAAAGAATTCGTGGCATTTGGCACCGACGTATGTAGCATACAAGCTAAAGATTCCCACATATTCAAACTCAATGAATCACCCACAAACATAATTTTCTTCCCTAACCATCTTTTCAAGAAATCCTTTCCATCAAATCTGCAAAAAAATATAAAAAAAAAAAAGTAAAGAAAACAAAAGTTATAAGGACACCAATATCTACCAAAATCTTGGAAAGGTAAAAAACCAACAATTATAGTATTGATAATGGAAAAAAGAAGTGTCTTGTTTAAAAGTTTTTTGTTTGTTTCTCTTTTCAGGAGTTGACTTGTATATTGCGATAGTCAGGGGCGAAGTTAGAGTTTCGGTAACGGGTTCGGTTGAATCCAGTAACTTTTATACAAATTGTATATTTATCTTAAGATATGTATTGAATATGTACAAATTTTTACTTTAAATTTATCCAATAACATAAAAATACTAAAATTCCGAATCCAATAACTTCGAATCCTGAATCCGCCTCCGCTAATATTGGCAGAGCCTCAAAGGCAACTTAGATAACTATTCATAAAATGTAAGAATAGTAAGTTGAAAAAATAAGACAAGTTATAGCCGTAACCTAAATCAATTTTTGAAGAGTCTTTATCACAATACTAAAATAATTCTTTAATTAAGCTAATTGAACTACCCTTTACTCTTTACTAGCTTCACCTCTAACTATAACATATTACTACGTATAAACCTCCGATTTAAAAAGAATGAACCTATTTGACTACAAAGGCGTGTCAAATATTTTAGTCCATGGATTCAATTTTTAAGGTTTTTAGCATTAAACTCATTATATTTCTAAAGTTATAAATTCATATATTTTTTTATTATAGTTTTAGTAAATTTTTATACATAAATTTGTGCTCTGCACCGAAAATGCTAGGTTCAGATGAATCTAGTACTAATATGCTACATCCGCTTTTATTTGATTGAGCATGGAGTTTAAGAAAGAATGAAAGACTTTTAAAACTTATGGTCTAAAACAACACGTATATATTTCAGTGGCTATATATTAACTCAATAAGAGTAAAATAAAAATTTTAAAGTTACGTGATTTCTAAATTTAGAAAGGAATTTTCAACGGACTAAAAAAGAAAATAGATTTTAGGTACCTGGGTAAGTTGCAAGAATCAGGTTTCCAAGCATATTTGAGGTATTCTTTATCAGGGCGTCCATATTTTTGGCAATCAAATTCTGGGTCAATAAAAGGGCAACTTGAAGATTGGTAAAGAGGAAATGAAGTGTCAATTACCCATTTTCCTTGAAATAAATTGCAGTTGCTACTGCTCATTTTTCCTCTGCTACTAACATTCTTTACCACAAACTCAGCTTTAACAGTTTCTGTTTGTAAGAAGAGAGAAATAACAATAACTAAAGCTATTGATTGAAGAGGTAGACTTGACATGACTTTAATTACAAAATTTTCTGTTTGGTTTTGTGTTCTTTTTGGTACAGACAATGTAGAGAGAGAGATGATGAGCATAGAAAAGAAAGTTGGCTTTATATTTATAGTAAGTCTATGTACATATATATAACAAAAAACAAACACACAACAAAATAAATGGCCAGCTCAATGCATAAAGTATCTCGTGTTTATACAGGGTACAGGGTACAGGGAAGGGTCGCACCTCAAGAGATGAGATTTAGATAGCATACCTTAATGCAAACATTAGTGGTTGCTTCCACGGCTCGAACCCGTGACCTATAAGTCACACAGAGACAACTTTATTGTTGCTCTAATACTCCCTTCTATAGAAAAAAAATAGAACGAAATACATTAATTTGATTTTTTTCTTTTGGGGGGTGGGGAAAGACTTAGGGGCCGTTTGGCCATACAAAATTTTCACTTTTACTCAAAAATTTCTGTTTGTTTTTGTGTTCTTTTTAGTACAGACAATGTAGAGAGAGAGATGATGAGCATAGAAAAGAAAGTTGGCTTTATATTTATAGTAAGTCTATGTACGTATATACAATCAAACATCTCTAAAACATCATCGTTTTTGTCTGCTATAGTGAAGTGTTGTATAGAGAACATACATTATAACATAACATAAAAAATTAGATTTTTAAAAAAATCCTGGCTATTATACAGTCAAACCTCTCTAATAACAACCTCATTTGTTTGAATATTTTTGGATGTTATAGCGAAGTACTGTTATAGAGAGCATATATTATAACATAACATAAAAATTGTTCAGAATAAAGCTTGATTTTTATAGTAAAGTGTTGTTATATAAATATAAATGTTATAGAGAGATCTGACTATATATAAAACAAAAAACAAACACAGAACAAAATACATTAATTTCTTTCCTTTATTTTTTGGGTGTGGGAAAAGACTTACTCCACTGTTTATATTAAATCATATAATCATTCTGGTATGTGATTTAATGAACAGAGAATATATATATTAATTATGATAAAGTACAGATATCTATCTAATTTTCTTCGAGTGAGACTTGAGGTTGGCGATGGGAGAAAGAAGGTAAAGAGTCCACCTATCATTTTTCAAGTACTAACTTAGATTAGTTTCATGTGTCCATATATATCTTTAATGGGTAAGATTTGTTCTTTAATACTTTCTTTAATAATAAAATATTTTTTAAAAATAGAAAAAAAAAAAAAGATCTGGTGGGTTTTGTTTTTCTACTAATATATACATTTTTCAATTAATTAACTTAATTGAACTTTAATTTTTATTTCCTACTTCTTTATACAATATATGAATTTCAAGATACTAATATGGAATATTCACTCTAGTTGAAATACCAATGGATAAAGTTGCATCCATCTAAGAACTCTTGAAATTAAAAGAAAAAAAAAAACTATCGATGCTACTTGCTAGTTTTCTTTTTTTTCTTTTTTCCTTAAATTTTCTTTAAATATTACTCCCTCCGGTCCAAAATAAGTGATTTTTTGGCCTTTTTTTTGTGGTCCAAAATAAGTGATTTTTTCAGATTTCAAGAATGAATTAATTATTTTTTTCCTACATTGTCCTTGGAGTAAATAGTGTTGGAATATGTGTTAGGAGTGTTTATGTGAGATAGTAAAGGTTAATATGGTCAATTCTATTGTTAATTAATGCTAAAAGGTGGATTTCTTAATCTGTGTGAAAATATTTAAAAAATCACTTATTTTGGACCGGAGGGAGTAAGATAAGATAAACATTTGGAAGTTGAAATAACAGAGTGGAACAGAAAGAGACTAAGAAAATACTCCTAACATGAACAAAAATTTCAACATAATATTCCTTGTTAATCCCAAGAGGGCCAAGACCCAAGACATAATTATTAAGTACAGAGGAATAATCACTTTACAATCTTTGCTAATCAAGTTGCCGGTGATTACGGCACCTATAATATTTCTATATATTTTCTAGAGAAAAGCTTATTTCCTCTACACCAATTTTTCTTTTTTTTTTTTTTTAAGAAAAACTTTTAAAACTTGGTCTATAAATCGTAGCTATTTGTATAACTATAAATTATCTTATTTAAAAAATGAACTTAAAAATTTGAAATTAAGTTAATATATAAAAATATCATTTTTTAAGGACACACTAACAAAAAAAGTATATCATAAAAGTTGAGATAATGGGAACAATTTGCAAGTGGAGTTGATTCTAGTTTAACTTTAAAAAAGATTCAAACTTGTCTCTTTACTACTCAAAATTGCACATTTTGTCTTTAATAAGATTTTTGGTCCATTAATCTAGTATATGCCCTTGTTATTAATGGAACTACAACATGAGATGAGTATAATTAACATGTCCAAATCATCAAATAAAAAAGTTCAAAGTTACTCTAAAACTTTTCATATGATTTTAAATTAGCTTCAGATTGGAATTATGTTGGAGGTCAAGGGCAAAACGAGACTTTTTCCTTATGGCAGGGTAAGATTATATCAGAAGTCTAACGAACGATAAAGTTGTTCAATTTCGAATATGAGGGGAATATTTGCCCAATTATGTTTAATCGAATAGTTATATATAGAGCCGTCAATATTGACTTGGCCCGTTGGACCGGCCCAGTCCGACCAGGCTAGAAGTTTTTGAGCCCATTTAAAAACGAGACTTTTAAGCCCGGCCCGAGTAAGCCCGTGGCCTGTGAGGCTTGACTGAGGCTGGGCTGGGCCGGCCCGTGGGCCTAATAAAAATACCTATTTAAAATATATAAAATATAAAAAGTATGACACAGAAAATAACAAGAAGAGTATCCCAAGCTTAAAGTTTATTAAGCTCATCATATTAAAAGATCAAAGTCTTAAAACGTTAATTAGTTTTAAAATTTTAATTTTTCTTAATATTAACCTAATTATTATTGCAAACGAATTGTAGATGTAGATGAAAGTGAAGTTAAGACAACCTTCTCACAAGCGGATTGAAATGTGTTTGATGAAGATCATGTGTTGGATATCCCATAAGCGTCATGGACGTTCTCTTGAATAGTTTGTTTTGAGTTTTGACTTTTAGTGAATAAAATAGTCTTGTCTTTTACTTTTTTAGTGTTTATTACTCTCTTCGTTCCAATTTATGTGAACCTGTTTGACTGCACACGGAGATTAAGAAAAAATTTAGACTTTTAAAATTTGTGGTTCTAAACAAGTCGAAAAGGAGTCCAGAGTATTTGTGTGATTATAAACGTTTCTCATTAAGGGTAAAATTGAAAGTTTAAGATAAATTATTTGCAAATTTAGAAAAGGGCATTCTTTATGGAACGGACCAAAAAGAAAATAGGTTCACATAAACTGGAATGGGAGGAGTATGATATATTGGAACAATATAAAAAGTTATTAAGTTTTGTGAAATTTTTTCAATAAGATTTTTTTAACTTTTAAATATTTATCTTTTTTAGGTTAGAACTTAAAGAAAAAATATAAAATTATATTTTAAAAAATAATGGGCCGGCCCGTGGGGGCCCGCAGCCCACATAGGACTGGGGTGGGCTGACCATTATAAGACCCATCAAAATGGTGGGCTAGCCCAGCCCAGCCCGTCAATTGCTAAAACCCACGTGGGTTGGGCTGGGCTAGCCCGGCCCCGCCCATATTGACAGTTCTAGTTATATAGAACAACCGATGGTCTATCAAAGATAATATTTCTACCTTACACAAGACAGGGGTAAGGTCCAAGTTGTAGCCATATAGAATAAAGAGTGTTCAGTTAAACGCCTTTGATCGAAATATTGTACTGAGTACATAGAAAATTATACTATGTATATGGATCAAAAATTATGCTGAGTATATAAAAAATTATATTATGTATGTATATCAAAAATTACTTTTTAAAAATATGCATTAAATTTTGAACACCCTTTGCAAAAATTTCTAGCTCCACCGTTAGGGTAAAGTCTCTGTATACCCCATTCTTTCCATACTCCACTTGTGAGATTACACTGAATATGTTATTGAATAGTTGTACCAAACCTTTTGGGATGAGAGTACTTCGCGCCAAGTAGTCTCAATTTTAGAGAAATCTTCAACTCCATGCATGATCATGGGCGAAGCTAGAGAGCGAGTTACGAGCTCGGCCGAACCCAGCAGCTTTGATTCAAATTCAATATTCGTTTGATGAATTAAACATGTACAAATTATTAATTTTGAACCCAATAACTTAAAAATGATTAAAATTTCGTATACATAATTTCAAATGTTGGCTTTGCCTCTGTTTATGATAACATTTCTTGAAAAAAAAACACAAAAGGGGAAAAAATCCTAAACCATTTAGGGAAGCAATGCATGGTCATACATTGCTTGAAAGATAAACACAAGAAGAAATAAATTAAAATCAAATGATTGAGGAATGGAAATTTCCATGACTTCCATTCTCTCCCAATTGGAGAGAAATTTCACATCACAATGATAGATGATGGTAGTGGTCTATTACTATTATACACTATAAGGTTTTATGGCCCTACTTATTGCAATTCCTAAAAGTAAGCTATACTTGAATATTCTTGTTTTTAGTAATTTTGTGCTAATTTGTGTATATTTTAATTGGAGTTACTCTTTTTACAACCAATTCACTTGTCTAATTTATTGATGAATTCAGGAGATTTTTATTAATCAATTAATTGCAACTACCAATTAAACTGGTTGACGGAACATTCTATTTATGTGTAATAGCTCAGGTCACTAGTGATATTGTCTGCTTTGGGCCTAGGCCGGCTAAATGATAGTATTTTTTGTTTAAATGTTTTTTCACCCTATACCTCCTTTGAAACCGACTATTTCGAAATCGTATCAGAAAGTCCCACTTTGGAGATAAAGCACTCCATACTAAAAAACAATGCCATAGACACGAATAGGGGCATACATAGTTTTTTTTGTAAAAGGTGTCGACATTTGAAATAGTAAATAAATACTTAATCAATCCGGTTTGACAACAGTTAATCTTTAATATATGGCAGCTCAATTGGTAGAGTTACACCATTTTAAGTTACACGTCGGAGGTCGAACCCCTGCTAACTTATATATTTTTCCAGAATAATAAATAATAATT